CCTGCTATTTCCTTCAGTCTTCCCTGTTTGGAAAGCCTGCCCCAATCGTCCAGGTGGACTTAATTACTTAGTTTCCTCATCCGTGAAATGAGGACAAGGCTACCCACCATCCCACGTTGCTGTGCGGATTAAGTGCCACACTCGTGTAGCCCGCCACCTGGCAGAGCACTCGTCTCTGAACAGTAGCCAACATGGCCATGGCTGCTGCCGTTGCTGGAGGGGACCTGGGCACTTCTCTCACTGAATGTGGGTTTTGCTTGTGTCCCTGCCTCCCCTCTCAGGTGCTTGTAAGCTACTTAAAGGCAGGACATGCCTTAGTCTTTTTTGCACCTCTGGGACTTGACCTAGAGCCAGGAACAGCGATGGATCGGCCTCTACACTGACGGGCAGCGCCGTTGTTCCTGGTCCTTTCGCGTGGCTCTGGAGCTGGCCCTGCGGCCATGCACTGCTGTGGCACCTCCTTCTTGACTCCTCTCTCTGCACACAGAATCGCATTTCCTCCATCCTCACTCTACTTTCCCTCCACTCGGTCTTTCGCTCTGGCTCTTTATTCATCTGTCTCGGTGTGCTGCGTCTCTGTGTCCATTTCTCAGTGTCTATTTGAGCTCCTTTCCCATCTCAGTAGATGCCATCACCATCTACCCAGTCGTTCAAACAAAAGGCCAAACCATTTCGTCCCGCTTCCTCACTCCATGCAGCCTTCAGCAAGGGATTATTAGGACTACAGCTCTGGGCTCGTCCCCTCTGTCTCCACTGCCACTGCCTAAGTTCAAGAGGAGGTCACTCTTGCTGGACCTTTGCAAGAACCTCTCTTGGCCTCTTTCCTCTGCCTTCATCTCCTGGGGGTCCTTTGCACAGAGAGCAGCCAGAGTGACCACTCTCGCCATTCTCTTACTTAGGCAGTAGCTTCCCCCTCGCACTCTGCGGCATGGTTTGGGAAGCCCTAACTGGCCTCACCCCTGCCTACCTGTCCTCTCGCCTCTGCCTACCCTGTCCATCTCACCTGTCCCTGCTCTGCTCCCTGGAGTTTAGCCATGCTGGCCTTCTGCCTATGTCTCAGACAGGTCACCCTTACCCTGCTTTGCACATGTCATATTCTCCCGGTCCACGCCTCTCCTGGTGGGCTCTTTGACACCCCCCCACATCTCACTCACACATAGGTTTCTGCTAAGCACCTAGTTAAACACAGCAGCGAGTGCCACTCATCATCACACTGCTGTTTTATTTCTTTCAGGGTCTCCATTGCTCTCCACACTGATCTTCCTTCCCGTTTACTTTTTGTCTGCTTCCTCATTCTAGAATAAAACTGCATGGGGACAAGGACTGTGTCGTTTTCAGTGTTGTACCCTCAACACCTAGAACAGAGCCTGACATCTCTTGGGCACTGTTTATTGAATGAACAAATGAGAAAATGAAACTGTGTGATTCTGTCACTGACCTGTGTGTATATTTTCTTGTTTCCATCTTTTTTTTTTCAGTCTCTGTCTCTATTTATCTCTGTTTCTCTCTGCACCTGTTTGTTGTACCTGGTGTCTACCTCCATGTTATTTGTCCTTTCTTTGCTAAATCATGGTTTTTGACAGCTTATTCCACCCATTCTTCCTGATCGCTGTTAGCTCTTTGGAAGCCCCCAGTCTGCCCTCCCTGCACCAAGGGATCTCGCTCCCCTTCCACAGAGAACCATGCTACCAAAGGCCACTGCCCTGCCTGGCTCTTTTGATGATGGAGCCAAGGTGGCAACAGTTGCATCTGCGTCACTTGGACCACTGCAGGAACCTGGCTTCTTCTTGGAGGGACCAGTGGGTGCCTTGGCTCAGGATTCTCTAATGTCTCCTCATGCTGCCATTATCCAATTACAATAAACTCATCACTTCTTAGCAGCTGCGGGTCGATCGTAGTTGTCCCTGGAGCTCCGGAGAATGCAGGGTATTTGCATAACCAACTCACGGTGGCAAATTAATTCTCATCTGCGTCAGCAGTCTTCGAGCTAATTGATTTAAGGCTTGGCAGACAGGACAGTCAGCCCCAGGCCTGGGAGGCCCACTGGGCACTTCCCCTGCCCATACGCTCCAGCTCTCTGCGCTTGGTGGCACCCGTGGCATTGCTGCCCCCATTCTGAGAGCCTGGCTCCAGCTTCTCTCAACTGACTCATCTTGCCGGGGAGGGGGGTCACCTACGGGAGAGCAGGTGCTTCTAGTGGGGTCTTTGGCAGAGGGATGATGTGATAGGCATTGGGCCATCTACGCTTCCCCTTGCTGCCCTTCTTGCCCCCATAGGGCAGGTGCTTCAGTGGGGTCTCTAACAGGGATGGCATGAGCAGAAAGCTGTCTACACTCTCTTGTCACTTCCCCTTGCCATCCCCCTGTGCAAGGTAGGCCAGCAGG